GCAGCCGGCGGGGTGGGAGATTGGCACCCGCTCTGCTCCGGCATTCGCACACATGCTGTGACTGTGACGGGCGTGCGGGCGTCCTCGTGGCCGTTGTCCTTGACTTGGGGCAACTTGGGGCTGGGATTTCACACTGCTGAACTCTGCCTCTGCCCAGGGAGGGGGCACGGACAGGTCCCTGTGCTCCCAGGTGTGAGGACACCCCGGTGTGAGGCCGGAGCTGTGGCACTGAGGTTCGGTGCTGGGTGGGAGTCTGGGGATTGCTGCAGCCCCTCCGGGCTGGGGAGGAGGATCCGCTGGGGGCTCAGCCCCTGATTTGCACTATTTCCTCGGTCCCAGGTGCCTATATCCTGTGAGTACCCTTGGCCCTGGGAGCCCGGGGTACCACAGCACATCCCCCCCGGGGGGGCTGTCGGGGAGGGCGAGGGGCTCCCTCCAGTGCAGGCTGCCCATTGCTATGAGGCTGAACTGGGGGAACCGTGCACCCCAAATCCGCTGGGAACCGTGTACCCCAAATCCACTCCCAAACCGGGAGCAATCACAGAGGAATGTGCTGCTGGAGGAGGGCTGGGAGCAGCACGCTCCCTGTCCTCAGCCACACCCGAGGTGGCCCTGGGTTCTGTCCCTCCCTGCGGTGGCCTCATTGCACCCCAGCCCTGCTCCGGCAGCTGCTCCTCTCCCCGAGCGTCCTGCCCCATGGGGACCCCACGGCAGGTGTCACCTCCATGGGGACATCCCAGCCGATGGGGTGAACACCCAGGCTCCAGGCAGGGCCAAATCCTGCATCCTGGAGCATCCCTCCCCACAGCCGGCAGCACCCGGGCTGGCCACCCCGGAGGGGCAGCGATGCCCACGGATCAGGTCCCTCCGTGTCACCGGGGGCCGTTTTTGGGCTGTGCCCCTTCGCCGCCGGCGCAGCATCGCTGTGGGCACCGCAGGCTGGTGCAGAGCCGCAGCCCCGGCCGGGGGCTGGCTGACCCTTCCCCTTGACCTGGTCTCGCAGCCTCCCCGCCCGCCGGGTGCCCACTGGGTGCCCCCCGGGTGCCCACTGGGTGCCCCCCGGGTGCCCCTCGCCCCCGCCGAGCCCCTCCTGCCGCTGCCCCCCGCCCATGGCCCCGCCGGCATCGCCGCAGCAGCTGCGGGGTCGGACGCGCGGTGCCTGAAGGATTTTTTCATGGCGGGGGGGGATACCTTATCCCGGGAATCCGGGTATTGATCCTAAATCTTACCCCAGGATCAACCGGGACACCCCCAGCCCTGCCCAGGGTGGTATTGGGGCTTCTCAGCGCCGCCACCCCCCGGTTTGGGGACCTCCCTGGGCGGAGGGTGGTGTGATCCCCCCGCGGGGCTGAGCCCCCGGAGTGGGGCTGGCGGGGTGCGGGGGGCTCCCCTCTGCCTGGCTGCGGCTGCGGATGAGCGGCAGGATTTACCGCAGGGCTGCCGGGAGCCGAGCCGCAGCACCCAGCCGGCGCGGGTGAGCACCCACCCGTGCTCCCGCACCCACCCGCGACCACCGCGGGGCTTCAGAATCCCCGGGGTGGGGAGAACCCACCCCAGCTCCATCCCATCACCCACCCCATCACCCCCAGTCCTGCGGCGCACCGGGCCAGGGGTGCAAAGGGAAAGTGGGGTCCCTTGCGGGGGCTGCCGGCGGTTTGGGTCCCTGAAGGGGGGACAGCCAGTCCCTCGCCCTGCTCTCAGGCCTGGTGGCAGCCCCGTCCCCGTCCCCCGTGGCGGCCCGTGCTCACCGTGGCGGTGGGAGCTCGAGGCGCGGGCGGGCGGTGGCGGCGGCCGGGGCGTCTGCGGATGCTGCCGGATCGCGGGGTGCCGGGGACGAGCCGCCCGCCGTGTGCGTGAGCCGCCCTGCGCCAGCTGCCGAATGCACCACAAAGACCACCATAGCCCCCCGGCCCCCCCTCCACGCCACTGGTGACGGTGACGTCTCAAGTGTGAGGGAGACGGGGATGTTTAACCCTCTGCGTGCCGGCCGGGGAACCTCTGCGGCCTGACTGGGGAGGGGCTCCGGCTCCTGCTGGGGGGCGGGGGGGGGCTGCTCCTTGGTTTTGGGGACACGGTGACGCCGAGAGGGTGCCTGTGTGTCCCCTCACATCAGAGCCAGCCTGGCTCAGCCCCAGCACCCGCAGCCCACTCTGAGCAGGGGAAGGGAAGTCCCAGATGTTCCTCTGCTCCTGACCCAGCCCATGGATGGCACTGCTTGCCCCAGTCCCCTCTCCAGGGAGGGGGACAACCACCGACCCCACCTGGTGCCACTACCATGGGGACAAACCAAACCCATGCCCCAGGCCCCCCCTTTTGACCAGGCAGCACCCTCTGTCTCCCCCTGTCTCTCCTGAACTGGGGCCAGGAGTGGTTTGGGTGGCATGAACTGGCACAGAGCTGTTCCCACAGGGCTGATGTGGGAGGTAGGAAGCAAGTGGGGACCCCCAAAATTGGGCTGGTTCTGCTTTTCCACCCTGCACTCGCCTTGCCCCAGGCCAGCGCTGAGCATTACAGTGGGGACATCAAAAAGCATTCCCAGTGTTGTGGTCACCCCAGGTCCAGCTTGTCCAGTGGCACACAGGAGTGACCCCCAGGGACAGGGGGTGGGTGACAGCAGCTCGTTGCTCCTTTACTTGGGCATTTCTGTGCAGCAAAGCAGGATGGGTGCCCACCCTCCAGCACCCCAAGGCACCTGGCACCAAAGCTCAGCCCTGGGGTGCAGTGGGCGGGGAAGGGACCTGAGCTGGGGATGGTGAGGGACCAGGGAAAGGCTGAGGCTGCTGGTGAGGAAACCTGGCTCGAAGGGAAGGAGCAGCAGAAGAAATAAGTGAGAAACCCTGTTTTTGGCCCTGGCTGTGTGGCTGCTGCCCAGTGTCACTGGAAAACAGGGGGTTTTGTGGGGTTGTAACTGGCTGTGACCATCATGCACTGGCCTCGAGGGACAGTGTCCATCCCTGTCCCCATCCCTGTCCCCATCCTGCCCAGCTCAGAGGGACGGGTCCTGCCCAGCACTGTGTGCTGGTGACACGGACAGGAGTGGAGCACTGGGAGGTCACAGATGGGCTGGCTGAGCCACCAGTGCCCCGAGCACTGCTGGTGTCACAGCCGGCTGACCTGGCAGTGCAGCGGGCTGTTGGAATTCTGGGATACGCAGCTCCCAGCAGTCTGGGGGGGCTGATCCGGCTGCAGCAGCCCCAGGCAGCTGCCCCACAGCCGCCCCCATCGGGCACAGCCCCCCGGGCCGTGCTGGTGCAGCCCGTAGCCGCTGGGGGAAGCTGCAGCCCTTTGCATTCCACGGAGTGGCTGGATAAGGAGGTTTTTAGGAACGGGCAGGGCCCTGGCAGCTCTGCACCCCGGGGAACTCGAGGCAGGGAGCTGGGGGGTGCTGCTACGGGAGCGGGGAGCAAAGAGCTGACACAGAGCCAGAGTTGCCTGCAGAGCCAGTGTCCCCCCCAAACACCCTGTTGTCTGCTCTGCAGTCCCAGGGCCAACATTCCAGTTAGGGTTTGGGTCGCCCCAGTTAGGGTTTGGAGCTCACCTGGGTGCTGTGACCGGGGCCACCAGTGTGTCCAGCCCCCCACGTGCCCAGGCAGTTCCCCAGCACCACGACTCACGGTGTCACAGCCCCAAAAATTGGGGCACTCCAGTACCCCACAGTCACCCTTACACCCATCTCCAGGGCATCCCTGTCGCCTGGTGCTCCCCTGCCTCTTGCAGCCGTCCCATGTCCCCTTGGCAGCCCTGTCCCATGAGCTGAGCTGGGCCGGTCTCAGCCCTGGCAGCTGTGCTGCTTCAATTAAGCCCTCATTAATTTTTCAGTCCCCCTGCGCACCCCGAGCACGGGAGGTTTGCAGAGCTGCTCTAATTGATGTCTCCTCGACTTCAGCCTCTAAGAACTGGCAGTGGGTCCGGGGGGGCTCATCCCCCGAGCTCTTGGGGAGGCTCACAGAGAGGCTTTGGGGCCGCCCAGAGCTGTGTGCCCAGAGCCCAGCAGAGTCTGTGGGGGTGACACAAAACCCATGAGGTTGAATCACCCCATTCCAGGTGCGGTCCAACCCTGGACACAGGCACGGTGCAGGGATGTCACGTCCAGCCATGGGGGTCCAGCCCTTCTGCCCCCAGAGTGGGGGGGTGATGGAGCCCTGCAGCCCCACTGCTCATACACAGCTGAAAATATTTGGGGTTTTTGTAACCCGGCCCCGTCTCGCCTCCAGCTGAGACAGTTTCTGCTGCTTCATGCAGCCACCTCTGCAGCAAAGGTGGGTGCACCTGAGAGCACATGCCATGGAGAAGGGCTGAGCACCCCATGGCACCCCACAGCCCTTTGGGGACGGGATGGGGACCAGTCCTGGCTGGCTGGAGACTTCATCTGGGCTCAGTGGCCACCAGCTGCAGAGGGACAGCTGTGGACAGGCCCAGGTGGCACTGGGATCACAGCAGGATGCCAAGGTCACCGGGAGAAGCACTCAGCTATCTCCATGGAAACATTCCGCGTTCGGTTCTGAAGATCAGAGTGGTTTTCTTGTCCCTTTCCCCTCTGTGCTTCAACTGTGGCTCTGCCAACCAAGAAGCCACTCGTGTGTCCCCAGTGCAGGCAGCGTGGGGCCGTGTGCTGGGTGCCAGCATCCCCTGGCATCCCCCCGCCAGCATCCACCCACATCCCACTGCCAGCATCCTCCCTACATCCCAGTCCCAGCATCCCCTCAGCATCCCACTGCCGGCATCCCTCCTGCATCCTGCTCCCAGCATCTCCCAGCATCCCAGTACCATTTCCCCTCCCAGCATCCCGGTACCCCCCCAGTATCCCACCTCGACCCCCCCACCCCGCGGCCCCTCCCGGTTGATTGACAGCGCTCCCAGCCAATGCACGAACGCTGCCGCCGGGGGGGGCGGGCGGCCTGAGGCTACAAGAGGGGCGGGAGCGGCGGGGGCTGAGCCGGCGGCTGGACCGCGGCCCCTCCGGTACCGGCTCCGGCACCGGCACCGGCTCCGCGCCCCGCCCCGCCCCGCCCCGCCGAGCCGCCACCTGCCCGCGCCGCACGACAGGTAAGGGCCGTCGGGGCCAGAGCCGGGGCTGGGAGCCGGTTCCCGGTGCGGAGCTGTCGTCGGGGCAGGTGCCGGGAGCTGCGCTCTCCCGGGAGCCGGTTCCAGCGGCTGTCGGGGCTGGTGCCCCGGAGCCACCTCCTCTCCGGGTGGGCAGAGCACCCCCACATCCCCATCCATCCCCCGGGGCTGAGAGCTGAGCCTCTTCCCTACTCCTTAGGGTGCCAGTCCGGGGGTGCTGCTCTGTCCTGCCCAGGGTGCAGCCCTTGATGGGGACACCTGTAGTAATCCCCCTCTGTCCTGTTTTGGGACCAGCAACCACTGGTCAGTGATGATGTTGGTGCTTTGGGGTGAGTGTTTTGTGCCAAGCGTGTGGTGGCCCTTCTGGCTGCTGTCCCCTGCCCTGGCGTGACTGGGCACAGCTTGGAAAAGGGAATGGGGGACTGTGAACCAAAGGATGTTGCTCTTGAGTCCTGGCCAATTTGAGGGCTTCGCTTGCAGGATAAGGTGTGGTGAGACGCTGCCTCCTCCTGCCAGTGTGACTGGTGGGAGATGTGGGAGGCCATGGGTACGGATCAGGGAGGGGATGGCCGGGGTACAGAATTGGTCCCAGCAGCTTAGAACTGGACTGTGATGCTGGGAGGGCTCGTGCAGCCCCCCAGCCAAGCTGGGATCACTGGGGAAGTGTTGTGCTCTGTGGGAGTCTGGACATTCCCTCAGCTCCGGCTGCCGAGGGGTGCTGGGTTGAGTGTTGCTGTGGCAGACAGTGACAGATGCTGGTGGGATGATGGGGCAGGAAGAAGGCACTGCCTGTGAGATTAGCTGGCAATGGGGCTGGCTGGGAGCACGAGGAGCCCCTCATCACTGCAGGGGGAGGCTTGTGCCCATCCCAGGGTAACCCCACATCCCCCCAAGCCTGCATGGCCGAGACATCAGACTCTCAGAAGGAAGACGGTGCTTGGTTGGGCTCCAGGTGAACTTCTACTCAACTTTCTCCATGGAGAGAGAAGCTCCAGGAGCTCTCAGCAAACCATCTGCTGCTCAGGCTGAGCGGTGCTGGCAGCCAAGGCTGCGTGGGAGCAGGCACGGCGTGTATCGGAGCAGATCCACGTCCTGCCCACGCAGCCATGGGCTCCCAGCGCTCCGTGCTGCTGGCAGCCCCGTGGCATAGGAGTGGAGGCCTGGCCAGACCCCATCCTCACCAAGGGCTGGCCAGGAGCAGGTTGGGTGTCACTGTGACCAGCTGGATGCTGCGAGTCCCATGGTACCAGTGAGGATTTTATGTGCTTTAGCAGCAGACTCTTCACTGTCCCATCCCTGGAGAGGGTCAAGTGAAGTGGAACAAGGTGATCTTTGAGGTCCCTTCAAACCCAAACCATTCTAGGATTCTATGATCGCAGTCTGGTAAAGGCCATGGGAAGAATTCTGGATCTTCTGTTGCTTTCTGAGTGGTTTTCTGCAGGCAAAAGGCAGCTGAGAAGATGGGGACCTGCAGGTGATGCTGCTGGGTGCACTGGGGGGCTGCCCCAGGGCCAGCTTCTGCACATCTCCAGCAGCAAAGGCCACAGCCAAGCATGCTCCCAGTGCCACAGTCACTGTCCTACATGAACACCCATCATCCAGGTGGATCAGCTCTAGCATGGGGAAGAGGATGTGGCATCAGCCAGCTGCCAGGGTGGAGGAGGGCCTGGGAGGACCATCCCTCTCCATGCCTGGTGTGTAGGAGCTGTGTGTTTTCCCTCCCAGGGGCAGCCATGGGCAAGCACAGCAGCAAGCTGGCCCCGGAGATGCTGGATGACCTGGTGAGGAGCACGGAGTTCAGCGAGCAGGAGCTGAAGCAGTGGTACAAGGGCTTCCTCAAGGACTGTCCCACCGGCATCCTCAACCTGGAGGAGTTCCAGCAGCTCTACATCAAGGTGGGGGCTCCAGCCAGGGGTCCAAGTGCTGCCTGTGGGGCTGGAGCACTCGGCTCCTGCTGGGCAAGGGTGCTGCTTCAGGTGCAGCCTCTGTGCTGAGCTCCCCCTCCTCATTTCAATCTCTCTTCTCTCCTTCCCGCAGTTTTTCCCCTACGGAGACGCCTCCAAGTTTGCCCAGCACGCTTTCCGCACCTTCGACAAGAACGGGGATGGGACCATCGACTTCAGGGAGTTCATCTGTGCCCTGTCTGTCACCTCCAGGGGCACCTTTGAGCAGAAGCTCAACTGGGCCTTTGAGATGTATGACCTGGATGGGGACGGGAAGATCACACGCTTAGAGATGCTGGAGATCATTGAGGTACCAGTGCTTAAAATCCACAGGGGTAGCTTGTTTTTTCCAGGCTTTTCACAGCTCTTGGGTCCCTTTTCACACCAAAGAATGAGTTTTCCTACCCAGAGCCTTGTCCAAAAGGTAGCCAGTGTGCACCAGACGGTAACTGTGCAGCTGCAGAGAACTCAGTCCCAACAGAGCAGAAATCCTGTGCCCTGGCCTTGTCCTGGGACATTCTGCCCACCCAGCATTCCCACTCTGGTACTTTGCTTCTCTTCTTTCTCCAGGCCATTTACAGGATGGTGGGGACTGTGATCATGATGAGGATGAACCAAGATGGGCTGACACCCCAGCAGCGTGTGGACAAGATCTTCACAAAGATGGACAAGGACAAGGACGACCAGATCTCCCTGGAGGAGTTCAAGGAGGCTGCAAAGAGTGACCCCTCCATCGTCCTCCTCCTGCAGTGTGACATGCAGAAATAGAGCCCTGGGGCTCAGTACTGGACTGGCTGCAGCCAACCTCTGCTCCCTGTGCTGGTTTCAATGCCCATTTTTTGCTGAGCCCCTCTGTGCCCCCTTGGCCCCAGGCATCAGCCACGCTCCATTCGTCCTGCTGCCCATCCACCTCTGCTCCAGCTGTATCCTGGACAGCTCACATTCCATACCCTCGAAGGGTAGAGCCTGCTCTGGGTATTGTCAGCTTGAGGTTACCCCAAATCAATCTTATCCCATCCTGGAGCTGGATTCCCTGCAGCCAGTGACAAGTTTCCTGCAGCCAGGAAACTTGTCACTGGCTGCAGGGCTAACTGTTCCCACATCCCTGCTGCTTTAGAATCATATCCAACCTAAACCTGGTTGTAGCCAGGTGGGTGTTGGTCTCTTCTCCCAGGCAACTATCAGTAAGACAAGAGGGCATGGTCTTAAGCTCTGCCAGGGGAGGTTTAGGTTAGATATTAAGAAGAAATTCTTTACAGAGAGGATAATCAGGCACTGGAATGGACTGCCCAGGGAAGTGGTGGACTTTCCGTCCCTGGAGGTTTTTAAGATGAGACTGGATGTGGCATCAGTGCCATGGGCTGGGAACCATGGCAGAGTTGGATTAAGGGTTGGACTTGATGATCTCAGAGGTCCTTTCCAACCCGGCTGGTTCTGTGAGGTGCTGCTCCTGGTGTGTGGTGCTACTGTAGGGACTGAGGCTGTGCAGAGGTGTGGATGGGTCCTGCACCTGCTGAGCCTCCTGGCAAAGCTCTGAGGCCACAAGAAACATGCCTGTCCCCTTCCTTGCCCATTCCAGCCTGCTGCATCCATCCCTCCTGTCCCAGGCCAGGAATATTGTCACGGGTTGGTGTTTAGTCTGCACGTTGTGGTGTTGATGACTGTAGTATCTCTTAGAAGATGGTGAAGTTGTTATCTATTTTTTTAATGGAAAAATAAACTGTCCCCTGTGTATGGTGTTCCCCCCGAATGGCTTATTGAGGAGCAGCCACTGCAGCTGTGGGGAGAGTGAGGTGACAACACTGCACTCCTGAGCATCATTTAGGTGTCTCCGTTGGGCCTGTGACACTCCAAGGGATGGAGAAGCCCTTGGGGACAGCACAGTGGGGCTCAGTCTGGAGAGCCTTGAAGATGTGGGCAGGTGAAACTCTTCAGTTGTGCAGGTAGCTCTGGGGAAGGCAATGTTACTTTTGGGGTGGGTAGGACCAGGCATCCCTGGGCTGTGCTAGAAATGGGTTTCTTTTGTCAAGCAAGACCTTAGCTCAGGGCTGGGCATGGCCAGAGGACCTGGTGGCTTTGTCCTGGGCTCCATCCCAGCACCATAAGCAACTGGGATCTGCTATCACAGTATCTTTGTCCTTTTCTCCACCCTCATCTTCCCTGTGCATAGTTTCCTCTGGCCCTTCCTCTCCATCAGCAGCCTGCACAGACAGTGACTGTTGCTAAGGAGCTCTCACCAAATTTTAATACTTCTCCAATCAATCAGGCAGGGCTGGCTCCTGGGCAGCAGTGCTGACTCCCACCCACCTGGATGCTGCAAATCACCTGGTCTGTCCTGCAACAGCCAGCACCTGAGCACAGAGATGGGAGGATGCCAAGGCCAAAGCAGGGTGTGTATTTTTAGGAGTGCTGCTGAGGGGAGAGCTCTGCACCCTGGGTTTGGCTGCTGTGCTTTCCAGGAGGGGGGGTGTGTGTTTGCAGCTCAGCAGTGCTGGGGAAGGAGGGACAGGGCAGGTCCCGCTGTGTGGGGGCCTGGGGACGTGCCAGGGCTGCTGCCTGAAAAGGCAGCAACTCAAAAGCTTGAAGAGGGGACTCCAAGAATAGCCTCAGTGATCCTGGGGCTCTCCAAGCTCCTGCTTCCCTTGGGGCCACCACAGAGGAAGTTCAGGTGTTTCCCAGGAGGGACCTGCAAAAGCCCTGGGGAAAGGAAGTCTTTGAGGCTGAAATGGTATCAAACACCCAAAGGGTTTGGGATCCCTGGAGCCAGCCCTGGTCACCAGCACCCAGCTGGCTCTGCTCTCCTGGTTGAACCTCAGTGCGAGTGAGGTGGTGTTGGATTGATTTCATGGACAGGGACACGGGGTCCCTGAGGCTTTACATCAAAGTCCACAGGGAGTGTTTTTCTTTAGCTGTAGCACAGAGCTTTGGGTAAAAAAACCTGCTGGTGGCCTCTGTCCTGGGGCTCTGTGACCTTCTCCCAGGTGCTGCCCTGTTCCAGGTGAGACAAGGTGAGATCCTCCATCACTTGCCCCTTCCTGGCTGATGGGTTTTGGTCTCTGGGTACACTCCCTGCTCCCCAAGGGCTTCTGGGGGTCTGCTGATCACGGTATAGGTTTTAGTCTGGGCTGAGTGCTGGGCTGTATGTGCTGTTTTGTGTCTGGACTTAATCCCACCAGCACTCCTGGGAGTGGAGAGCCTTAATTAACACCTGTGCTCATTCCATTAACTAGTGCATGGCACAGGTAACCCTGGCATGGAGCAGGGCTCCACCACACCTTTGTCCTACCCTGCTGCCACCATCGTGGCTGCTCCAGCTCCCAGCACTGACCACCCTCCTGCCCTTCCCGTTGCCCTGGCATCGGTGCCACCCTGTGCTCTCCAAGGGTGGCCAAACCCTTGGCACGAGCAGGAGCTGGTGTCTGCCGTGGGTGCCCCATCACATCCCTCTCCGTGTCCTCCTGGGGGGCTCTGCTGATGTCACCTTTGTCCCCAGCCCCCTCCCCTCGCTCCCGGGGGCTCGCTGCCCCCGGGGCTGGCTCTGCTTTGGAACGAGGTCTCCCGGCTCGGTTCCCCGCAGCACCCCGGTATTACCGGGCGGAGGGGAGGCGGCGGCGAGGAGCGCTCGGTCCCGAAGAGGTTAATCCGTGTCCCGGTGGACTGAAACCCCGGAGCTTCATGGGATGCCTTATAAAGCGCGTTCCGCCGGGCCGGCCCCGGCTCCGGGAGCTCCCGGGACTGGCGGAGCCGCCGCCGCGCCGGAGCCGCCGGTGCCCCGGAGCCGCCGCACTATGGAGCCGCCGGGCCCTACCGGGGCGCCGGGCCGGCCCTGGGATGAAGCCAAGGCTTTCTACGACAACCTCGCCCCCAAGAAGAAGCCCAAATCGGTGAGAGCCCCCGAGGTGCCCAGCCGCGCTGCACTCCCTGCCCCCGGGGGGACGCAGCCCCTCTGGGTGCCCCCCTCCAAACCGCGTACCCCATCTCCCCCGGGTGCCCCCAGGTCACTCCAGGGGCCCCATCTTCTACAGGTTCTCTGTGGTCCTCCTGGGTGCCTCATCTTCTCTGGATTCCCCTGTGGAACCCCCCGGGTGTCTCTGGGTGCCCCATCCCATCTCCTCCACACTCTCTGGGGTCCCCCCGGGGGTGTCTCTGGTTTTTCTTTGACACCCTGTCTCCGTCCAGGTCCCGGGGTCTCTCCAGATGCCCCCACTCTTCCTTGGCATCCCTGGGTTACGCTTGGTTGTCTCTGGGTTCCTGTGGGTCCCTGTGGTGTTCCCGGGTCCCTCCTGGGCTGAGGTGTCCTTGCAGAGTGGCTCCGTGTCCCATGAGCTGCCTGTCCCCTGCGCCAAGGCAGGAGGCCCTGCCAGGGACAGGAGGGGTGGCAGTGCTGGAGCAGGGGGACAGCCCGGGAGCTGAATCCCTGCCCAGAGCAGTGGGGTGTCACAGGGGTGCAGCTGCCCCTGCCAGGCTCGCCTGCTCTGGGAGATTAGAGGGAAAGCCTCCGTTATCTAACCAGGGCTGAGCCTGCCGGGTTTAAACATGGGAGCCCCTGGAAGTGCTGCCGTACCTCGGGATAGCTGTGGAGCTCTGTGTGTGACCTCTCCACGAGGGGAGACTGCTAAGCTTTCGCTCTGCAGACCCCAACTTGGAGCAGCCCCTGTGCTTTCCCGGCTGGGGACCCGGCTGCAGCCCCCTGTCGTGGACCCGCTGCCAGCTGGCATTGCTGTGCCCTTCCCAGAGGAAGAGGGACAGCCTGGCCTGGTGGCAGGATGCAGCTAGTTGTCTTTCATGCCATGCTCTCGGCCTGTGTAGATGTCAGCCCAGGCTCCTCCTCTCCTTGCAGGCAGCTCGGTGACCAGTGCCCCCGTCTGTGCTGTACGACTGAGGCGCCGGGCAGGGATGGGCTTTGCTCACACAGCAAACCAGCGGCAGGGCCGAGATCCAGGCACCCAGATCCTCAAGTCAGGCTGTGCCATCCCCCTTTGTGGGGCTGGGGACGATGCTCAGCCTCGTGCCCCTCTGTTGGGGCAGGCTGGGGGCCCTCGCACAGAGCTGGGGTGCCCTGCCCTGCCCTGCCAGGCAGCTGCCAGCCCTGTGATGGATGGCTGCAGAGCTCTTTTCTGCAGCGTAAATAATGCTCTGGGAAAACTCAAAACCATCCCAGCCATCGCCCTGAACTTTAATCTGATCCCGAGCAGGGGGCTCAGAACACCCAGGGCTCCCTCGTGCATGCGGGAAATGGAGTTGTCAGTCTGTGCCCTTGGAGGTGCCAGGTCTGTCTGTCCTCTTGGTGGAACAGGAGCGGGTACCTGTGGGGGAGCAGATGTGAGCTGTGGGGGCTGCTCCCTCCTGGACACGGGCTGTGAGGTGGCAGGAGGCAGGGGGATTTTGGGGAGCCCATTCCTGGCTGGGAAATGGGTTGGTTAACAGGGCATTCCCACTTTGCAGGGGTCTCTGCTCTTCCCATGCTCCGGCTCCTGTGGCTGCTCCAGCCTCGCTCCTGCCAGCTGGGGAGGTCAGCGAAGGGATTTGTCACTCCTCAGCAATGCTGAAAATGTCCCCCAGCCTCTCTGGTGACGCTGAGTGGGGTTAATGGGAGCTGACCTTCTTCTGGCTCCCTTCCTCTGAGCACCCTGCTTGTCCCCTGCACCCTTGGGGTCCCATCTGGCTCACCAGGGTGCCTGATTTTTGGGATGCTGTAGCTGGAGTGGGGGTGATGCTTGATCTTGGAGCAAGCCCTTCTTCTTCCCTTTCTGTGACCATATTTCACTCCAAAATCCACCTCCAAATGTTGAATTTGGTCTTCTGCAGCATCCAGGGAAGTGCCCAGAGCTGACAGGATTCTTCCAGGATTTTAGGATCCAGTTGGGTCCAGCAGATTCAGCCCCAGGCAGGGATCAAGGGAGGCAGAACAGGGTCCCCACCGTGGCTCCTGCCAGTGGTGGCCTCCAGGGGTGGCAGTGAAGCTGCTGGTGTTGGGTGCCACTGTGGGCACCTGTGGCTCCTGTGGGTGGGAGGACGCAGTCCTGCTGCTCCTCCTGGGAGCCTGTGGGA